TCTTCCTCCTCCTTTTCTTCTTCATCCTCCTCTTCCTCCTCTTCTGCCTCCTCTTTTCTCTAGGTTTTGCTGCTGAGATTAAACTCAGAACCTTACAAATGCTAAGCATGTGCTCTACCTCTGAGCTCCATTCCTTGCCCTCATTTTTGTCTCCTGCACAAAAAGCATTAACCCACGTGAGGTCTTGGGGATCAGAGGGTAGGTATGCCCATGAACTTGAAAATATTGCTAAAAGCAAGTTATATTAATGGGGTTATGGTGTGGTAGGGATCCATTTTCCTTGGAGAATGTAGTTATTCTACATATAGAAGCAGTTAAACAGCAGACAGTAAAATCTGCATTGAATAAAACAGCATAGTATATAAAATCCAGAATGGGAAATCTAATAGGCGAAAATCCCAACTAGATCACTTGCATAGTTTTGAGAATAAACACTTATGTTCACAGAGTGTTTATTATTATTTAGTATTATTGTTGTTGTTATTATCGATGCATGCCCTTGAAGCAGTTAGTACCTTTCCACTAGTGTAGGAGAAAACCAAGGCATCAGGAAGGTAACTCTACCATAGCTAGAGAATTACAGAGCCTGGTTTAAGCAGGAGGTAGTGAATGCATAATTTGTGCTTCTAGTAAACAAGAAAGGCTCAAGCAACTGAGGTTGCCAACTCTTTTCAGATTTAACCTCTCTTTTCTGTTTTGTCATCTGTTCAATAGAATTAACTCTCAACTATTATTTTATCTGCAGTGGTGAATTTGTCCACATGTTACATGATGTGTTTAATTTCATAAAAAAAAAAAGAGTAAATCTCCCTCAAACATGGAATAAATCCCTTAACAGGTGGAAGGATTGACTGGACTGAATATCTTTCTCATCTTAGACTTATAATTCAAAGCAACCTCAATAACATACCATATGACAATTTTAAATATGCCCACCCAAGTCAGGACTCCAACCACACAAATCCCAATGAGGGTGCTGGCAAGATGTTATAAGCAGTTATTTGTTCCTGCTATTCTCCTTTATCAGACAAATGAAAGGAAGAAGAGAAACGAAGATGGACAAAAATATACATTATAGGCAGTCATCTAGGCATGAAGCATTTAGTAAAATCTACTGAAATTTATACAGGATTTTCCTGTTAAATGCATTCAGGAAAAAAAATCATCAAGATCTAATGTATAGAAAAGCTAAAATAGATAGATAGATAGATATTATTGATATGTTTTATATAAGTATGTATATAAAAAGTAGACACTGGAAGAACATGTAAACAATAAGACATGACAATTTTTATTACAAAATAATCCATTCCAACATTTAGGTAATCATAACTCATGGAGATACGGTTGTTTACATCCACTGCAGGTCTTTAGGGAGTAAAATGATCTGGGTTCAAATCTCACTCTGTGGAATATTTGAGCCTGGGCTCAAATAGCAAATACTTAAATTCTTTTCTCAGATTGTCAAAAATAAATGACGATAATAATAGTATCTATTTTCAGGTTGTTATGAAGAGACAAGATTTAATATGTGAAAAGAACATTCAAAAATACTTTGGATCATTGTAGGCCTTTGTTTTGTTTTCAATGTATCAATTTATGAGCACAATGCATCTTGATCAATGAGTTTACTTTGGAAATGTTTCTGTCATTTTCTAAAGAGCTCCATCAAAGTACCTCATTTAACAAAAATTTGCCATTGCCACTGGAACTTAAAGAACAGAATAAGATGTAATAAACTTTACAGAGGTAGGAGAATATGAAAATGTTTGATCTATTATTCTTCCTTGATATATCAAAGGTATGTGAATGTTCATACAGAGAAATTTAATAAAGATAAATGTGAAGTAGTTCTTGTAACATGTGATTATCTCTGAGTAGTATACAATCAAAAATTAAAGATTTACAACTTAGTGAGGTACCAGGTCACCTAGGAAAAATACTAGGTACTCAGGAGGCTGAGATCTGAGGATTCTGGTTTGAAGCTATCCCAGACAGGAAAGTCTGTGAGACTCTTATCTTCACTAAACTACCAAAAGAAGAAAAGTAAGAAAGAAAGAAAGAAAGAAAGAAAGAAAGAAAGAAAGAAAGAAAGAAAGAAAGAAAGAAAGAAAGAAAGAAAGAAAGAAAGAAAGAAACAAAGAAAGAGAGAAAGAAAGAAAGAAAAAAGGAAGGAAGGAAGGAAGGAAGAAAGAAAGAAAGAAAGAAAGAAAGAAAGAAAGAAAGAAAGAAAGAAAGAAAGAAAGAAAGAAAGAAAGAAAGAAAGAAAGAAAGAAAGAAAGAAAAGAAAGAAAGAAAGAAAGAAAGAAAGAAAGAAAGAAAAGAAAGAAAGAAAGAAAGGAAAGAAAGAGACAAAGAAAGAGAGAAAGAAAGAAAGAAAAAAGGAAGGAAGGAAGGAAGGAAGGAAGGAAGGAAGGAAGGAAGGAAGGAAGGAAGGAAAGAAGGAAGGAAGGAAGAAAAAACAGATAGAGCTATGTCTCAAGTAGTAGAGCTCTACCCTTGAGCAAAGGAAGCTCAGGACAGAGGCCAGGCTCTGAGTTCAAGCCCCGGACGCACACACACAGACGCACACAGACATACACACACACAGACACACACACACTCACACAGATATATCTATAGAGATATATACAATATAGTCATTAGTTATGAGAAAAAAATTTATATTACCTGGAAGTGAGAGAACTAGAATTTAGGTTAATTGTGTTATACAGACTTGAAGAAAGTTCAATGGGAAATTATCAAAGAAAATGCTACTGTTCTCCATGTTATGTGATTGATTTCATAATTAATCACTGTTTGGCAAAATTCAGTAATTTAGAGAAAAATAAGATTGTAAAAGATATAGATTCTGTTGAAAACAGCAGAAACATTTGCCCTTATTAAACTTTACCTTTAGAAAAAAGGAAAGTAGCTCATTTTTATCCAAGGGCCAAATACCAAAATAATAAGATCGAAAACAATTATTCCCACATATTAACCAAGCCACAGAAGGAAGCTTTCATATTAATGCACTAGTCACAACACACTATGATTCTCTTGCTCAGTAATTAGCTTGCAGATTTCCAGAAGCTGCAATTCTTTCACCACATAAGGATATTCCATTAGTACCAGTTTTCTGTAAAGTACCTTTTAGGACCTTTTTGGGGAAAATCTTGAAATATATTTAATTAGAGAATCAGTGAAGAAAATACAAAGAACATTTCAATCTATTATTACAATTGTAGATGCTGGGTCTTTAAATGAATGCTACAAATTAACCTTTAACTATTTGCCCCTCCGTGCGCTCTCCCTCTCTCTCTCCCTCTCTCTCTCTCTCTCTCTCTCTCTCTCTCTCTTTCTCTCTCTCTCTCTTTCTCTCTCTCTCTCTCCCAAACTCTTTGTTATAGATGCACAAGTTTTTTTCACAAATTAATATTTAAATCATTCCTTGTAAGCCAGAATGCCAACAGCTCTTTTAGTTGAGGCAATGAATGGAAAAATCTAAGTTGATGTGTCATAACAAATCATTTTAATTATGTTACTAAAAATGTTAAGAAGAGTGTCTCCCTCTTGTGCCTAAAGATATTTCTTTTTGTTAGGACTCAATGAAAATTGTGCAAATTATGCAAATTGTTGAAATCATGGCCCAAGCAAGTATGTGACCAATTAATAAAAATGCTTGAAGTTTTATAGATTTAGAAGGATTCTGTCTAGAATTGAAAGGCCTGAATCTATTTAGAATTTCAGAGGGGCCAATGAAATGGTAGGTGAGTCTAGGAAGATCAATGAAATGGTGAGAACCATACGTAGTAGAAGATACTATCTTCTCCACAGACCTTTCTAGGATAAACAAAATAGTTTCAACTTTGTTTATCCTAGAAAGGTCTGGGGAGGATTTGATCCTTATTGTAATGATATTAAAGCTTTGGAACCTTTAATAGATATCACATAGTGGAAACTTCTTAAGTCATTGGGAGACTTGCCTTTAGAAGGAATACTGGACTAAGTTCTAGAGAGCAATTTGTTAAAAAGAACCCCTGGATATCTGTGTTGGTTCCTTCATGGAGGAGACAGAAGCATTTACCTCCACACATGCTCTTTCCATACCATGATGGAGTTCATCATGAGAACAACTGAGCTAAGACCAGCACCATACTCTGAACGTCCCAAACTGGGAGCTAAATAATAAAATTACATACATACAGATATATATATACACACATATATGTATGTTTGCTGTCTTGAGTATTTCTGTTCTACTCATGACAGAAACTTTAGATGGTTCAGAGATTATCCTGTGACCACCTATGGGAAAATTATTATATGTATTATGGAAGACTGAGGAAGTCAAAATAACATTAGCTTAAAAATCCAGTAAATATTATTTTTTTGGTCAGTCGGGGGTCTGAACTCTGGGTCTGGGCGCTGTCCCTCAGCTCTTTAGCTCAAGACTAACACTCTACCACTTGAGCCACAGCACCACTTCCAGCTTTTTCTGCTTATGTGGTGCTGAGGAATTGAACCCAGGGCCTCATGCATGCAAAGCAAGCACTCTACCACTGAGCCACCTTCCCAGCCCAAAAAATCCACTAATATTAAGAGGGCCTCGCATGCATAAGGCCCTGGGTTTGATTCCTCAGCACCA